ATAGTTTTCTCTTTTTATTTGTCCTATATATATATATATATATATATATTTCAACACGTTCTGAAATTTTTCAACAGCGCACCTATAACAAAATTTAAAGGAAACAAAAAATTTTAAAACCATATTAATCATGATTAACCCTCACTGTTAGAAATTTTATTCCAAAATTATGGTAAAATAACCGGCGGCAGGTTGTAACCATACAGCAACAACCGTAAAGTTTACGATAAGGAACATTTTTTACCTCTACGGTTTTAAAACCATTTACAACCAATATGGTTATAAAACCATGAATGCAAAATTAGGCTGTTTTTTAACCATTTGCAAGTAACATGGTTTCAAAACGGTAAAAAAGAAATTCAACTGGTCATTGGAGATAGTTCATCATCTTTATTGTGCTGCCATTTATGCGTGGATGAGAGTTTTGTATTTAATACCCCAGGTTCACAAATCGGGGAGTGCAGGACACTGTTCATGTGTTAAAGGGAATTTTCGAAAAGGGTTTTCCGAAAAATTTCTAACAATACACGTCAGGTGGAATATTTTCTTGATTTGGACTGGTTACTGGATTTAGGTGGGTGCCAGGATATTTTTGATCAGATAGTGTATTATATATGAAGGCAGACAAAGAAATATGAAAGAAAATAGTTTTTTTAATATTTTAATATTAAGTAACAACATTTAGACTCTTATCAAGTGGTAAAAAATTTATGAGATAATAGGCATGCATGTGGTGACACACATGAAGTTATTACAAATTTATGATTGGGAAGTGAATTTGATTTGGATAATTGAACTGGTTCAGATAATTGAACTTTTTATTATTTGTGACATCTTATATCAAAATTGATTGGAGTTGATTAAACAAATTGTGGGGAAATATAAATTTCAAAATACACATACCTTCACATCGTGCTTCCAGAAACGGGAAACAGCTTGATCTGCAGTATTTGGTGCTACTTCTTTGATCTGTAAGAGAAAGAAAGTTTGAAAAAAGCAATAAATTTCAGCGACCAAATTATCTAACTTAAATTTAGCATGCAGAATACAAAATACTTCTTGAAATACCAAGAAAGAATTTGACGCCGAAATGTAATTCCTATTATTAAGTATACCTACGTTTCACATTTAACAGCCGACTCAATTCTGACTTTACACTGTTAGAATTTTCATTCTAAAATAATGGTAAAATAGCCGGCAGCTTTCTGTCCATCCAATTAACAGTAAAGTTTACGGTAAAGAACATTTTTTACTATGGTTTTGAAACCGTATACAACTAATATAGTACAGTATAGCAACCATGAATAAAAAACAGTATAGTTTTTTATACGTGGTTTTTCAACCATTTTCAAGTAGTGGACATTAGACTGGACATTAGATAGTAGTTACAACACCAGGCTACGGTTACAAAAGTCCTGGGTTCGAGTCTCAGCCGTCACTTAGGAGCATTAATCTCTCACATTGTCCCTCATTGCATGGTTCACTGTGATTCGACAAACAATCACTGTTAAACAACGTGAAGGTCTAAACTGAAGATAACTTTCACGAACAAAATGTTAATTTACGGCCGGTGGTCACTTTTATGTGAAAAAATATTCACGAACAGTCCTGTATTTTTATGACCATTCCAGCTTTACGGCCCGTGACTAGAACATAACACTTTTTACCGGTCTTTGCCTGCAAACCAGTGGTGAAACGTTTTACAGTATAGGAAGTAATAAGAAGTGTTTACCTTTAAGATGATCAAAGCGGCGATGACAATACAAATGATGTTAAGTATGGTGAGTAAGAAGCTGACAATTCCTAAAACAGCACATTCTTTATCCATGAGGGGAAAATACTGTGGGGTGTACGTATCTGGAGGCAGTAAGGCTGGCTTCACAGTATGGTTATAAATGTCATACACCTTGAATAGAAATCAATGCATTCACCATGTTATCAAAAGTAAAACAATATAAGTAAGCAATTTTTATTAAATTGTTTCATGCTTTAAAGTCATGAAATGCAAATTACTCATTGCAGATTGCAATGGTTGAATATGGTTTGAGCCTCAGAAATATCAGCTTAAGAATGATTCATAATATTGGTACTTCGAACCATTATATGGTAGACATTTTCTGCAACCTTATTAAGATGCTTAATTGCACCATAATTCCATTTAAATAGGACCATTTTATTAAGAAAAAATTTCATGATTTTTAAACTTTTGATATTTTTTTTCTCCTTCCTGTTAGCGTACATTTCGCTTTGTGATAACAATAATCATCGGGACAAATCTGTGAACTCTTTTTATCATATTAAAAAATTTCTGATGGTTAGTTATGCGAAAAATCAAAAATATTGATAACAGCAATAATTTCAAACAGTATCTTTTATACAAGTATAATAGAGTGAACGATGATGGTAAGCATTTTGGTACTTTGGTACTTCTTATTAAATTGCTTTTTAAGTGTCTAGATTTATTAGATACGTCATATTGATGGTAAAAAATACATTAAAGCTCTATCTTCAGTAGAAAATACATCATTAGAGATTCAAATAATATGTAAGCCCAAAAAAACATCATTAATAATAAGAAAAAACTTTAAAGTTTTGTTAATGTCTATAATATGACTAAAATAACAGTAAAAAATGCCTTACTAAAAACTTTTCATTTTTTAGCACCTTAAGTAATAAGAATAACGTATGTTTCTTAAAATTATAGAATAATATCCAAAATGCATTGAGAAATCCAATTGAAATACAAATATTCATCAAATTAAAATACAAAAATCCACTTAAGTTAAAATACAAACTATTCAACGCTCCGTTTCATTTTCTTAATACTTTATAGATTTTCTTTTATTAGTGAATTAACTAATGAACCGTTTTTTTTCCTATTTTAATAGATTTTCCAACATAGCAGGCAATGCAGAAGTTTTGTTAAAGAAAATTACTTCTTTGGAACCTCTCTCACTTAACAAAAAGTGCTTTTAAAATCACATGAATCATTTTTATTCAATTCCAAAAACATCGAATTCCATTTTCTAAAACCAATATTTAAATCTTGCATACCAGTTTCGAACATATCTCACAAATATCTGAAATATCGCCGAAGAAACGCTTCAAATACGAAAGAACATTGTAGTAGCATTTTCATCATTTAAAACATTTGATAAGACAGAATATTTATAATTCTCTAAAAATACTTTTGCTATATTAACGAAACATTTTTTGATTAAAATTTAAGCAAACATTATAGAATTATTAAACTGCTTTATAAATGCTATAAAATGTAGTTTAATTGAGAAATCAGGCTCTTGGTAAGTCGTAGATTAATTGGGAAATCAGGCTTTTTCCAAACTGCGAATGTCATTTGTTAGGCTAATTACAGTGATCCTTATCAGCGAAGAGATATCGGCAATTTTAAAAGAGCCAGTTTTTTCACTTCGCTTACTAAACGTATACACTTTTTAATAGATTTTCTGTGCGTCTAATTCACATATTCAATTAAAATAAATGCTAATTATATTAAAATAAACGTAGTGGAAAAAATAACAATTAAAATAATATTTAAAGAATGTACTTACAACCAACGTATTCTGGTATAAGCTCCTTACAGTTTTTATGGCACCTAATCCCCATAATATACCCTAAAATAGCATATATAAGATATGTTAATATTAATAATAATATTAATAAGATATGTTAATATTAATAAGATATTAATATTAGTATAATATTAATAAGATATATAAATAAGATGTGTTATCATTTATTTTAAGGTAAATGTTAAAATAATCAACTCCAATTTTAAATTCCTCAACAAAAAATTTTTTTTAATTTTTTTTTAAATAAGAATGTTTTATAATTTTTAAAAAAAGATATTCACCGCCTTGATTGTATATAAAAAAGAAACATTTTTTGTCATCCTTAAAAAAAAAGTCAATAGCATTGTTCATGAAAAGAATTACGACTTATAAGCCTCGGTCAAACTGGAGAACAGAGCACATTTTAGCGAAGATCAATTCAGGGTTACGGTGGGATTCAAGCCCGCTACCTTCACGCTGACAAAGCATTTGGTGGATCTATAAGACCACTCGGCCAGAGAGACCCAACATTGTTCGAAATTAAACTACCAAGCGCTTTTTCTTTACATTTATTTAAAACATTATATCAGTGATGTTTACTAGCTTACAGATCAGATTTATCAAAAATTAAATTTATTAAAATTAATAATTTGAAAACGATCTGATTCCACGTGATTATTTCGTTCATACTTACACTTTTGGAACGTTTTCTGCTATCCTAAATAATAAAAATCAAAGTTAAGTTAAATATGTAAAAAAAAAAAAAATTACGTTATTAAAAGTGTAAATTCATCGGGGGATTGCTTGATTATAATAAGTTTAGACTATCATGCATTCTCCACTACCGATAATCAATAACATTATTGGTGACGAATGAAACTGGAGTATGGTTTATTTCTATTTTGATGAACTCATCATCAAAAACGTGTTTTACTTAATCATCTAATAACGTAAAGTCACCGAAAAATACAAATATTAAGAACATTTAAACGAAAATAGGATTATTTCAACTGATTTCATAGTGTCGACTTTATAGTTTTTAGTTAATTAATATCGATACATAAATTCCAGACCTTTCCTTCACTCCGTACGAAGAACGGGTATTCAGCCAGATTAAAATAACTTGATATTTGATATAAAGAAATGTCTTACACAGTTGACTGTTGGTGGCAGAAGTGAGGCTGAGATTGCGACCCCTACTAAAGAAGATCCATTTCCTCCTAGAACCGACATAGCAACTCCAGCTCCTGAAGGAAGTGCAATCAAGCAGCCAGCCCACAAACTCCTCAACGCACCTCTGAAAAAAGAATTTGAAACATTGAATATTAGTTTGATGCAATCTGCCCTAAACTTGACTGCCAAGAAACTAAAACAAAAAACTTTTTATGCAAAGAATAAAAATTCTTGGAGTCAATTCGTGCGGCAGGCGAATACATTTTCGCACAAATGTCTTGTTTTCTGCTCGAAAATTTTCCGACAGATGGTGCAGCGAGTCCCTTCGACATTTTCTTGCGTTTCATTTTTAAGCATGCAAATTTCTTCTTCAGATTACGATATGCGAATAAGATGTGGTGACTGGTTTTTGTTTCAGTATGATTAATTAGTTCTTGTATATTTGGTGTTGATTGTGCCTTGTGTTATATGTGTTCTTTTAATTACTTAAGTGAAACAGTTTCCCTGTATTTTTAAAAATAAACCTCTCTATCTTGGTATTGTTATTTGTTTGATATCTTATCCTCCAACTCTAATAATTACACACCATCTAACGAGCAAGATAATGAAAACTGTTTGGTTTTAGGGGACGAAATATTTTGGCTTTTTTCTAAAAAGAAATGAAATCGTGTCTTTTTTTGTAAACATGAAAGTTGAAAGAAGTCTTTCTGCAAATTTCACGTTTTTTAAATCAGTTATTAAAATTTCGAATTATAATTGGGTAGACTATATTTGAGGGTGCCCCTTGATTCTCGCTAAGTTGTGATCGCCAAGCTGGGCGAAGTTGAAACCCATCCGTGATTCTGAGTGGTTTAGATTTTAGCGTTATTTTTAAATGTTCAACGGTGTATGTAATTTCAGAGGTTCGTTAGTTCTACGTTGGATACCGGCAAGCAACGTTACTTTTGAATCTGATCAATAAGATCGAAGGTATGTGGGCAGTCATAAAAAGGGATTTAAGAAAAAAATGTCACATCTACTCCGGTATTACAGACGCCATTTTTGATTCGCATTTCGTCGAATTTATGTGGCGATGGAGGTACACAGATTCTATTCATGTTAAATTTAGACAGTATCTAACTGTTATTAGATAATTCTGTGCACCTAAATCTGAGAATATTCAAGATTAATGAAGAAGTGAGTTGTTTTTTTCCTTTTCTTTCTGCTCTTACTCTATTAATTTTTGCTTCGAGTCAAAATCCTTTTTATTGGATTTATTAATTTTGCTTATATTGGGCTCATTGAAAGCTTTATCCTATGTTTTTTTGAAATTTTCCAATGTTTTATTGAAATATCATCATGTTTTGGCAGTCATTACTGTTGCCACGGTGTTCCGCGCAAACAGGAATAGTGCCAAACATAAGTCGCCAATTTCGTTAAGAGTCACCCGCAAGTATATTTTTCCCTTATAATTAGACATGGAATTAAATTTCCTTCTCTTTTAAGTAATTCCGTCTACATTAAAATTTCAAATTATAATTAGATATGGAAAGATATCTAAATGCGTTATGTGGTTTTATTAAATCCATGAACATAACTAGTGAAACTTTTTTACTCACCTTCCTGCCATTTCAGGAGTAGGCCATTTTCCAGCTCCCCAAGTTTCACTGAAATTTCCACAAATGAAACCAAATAGAAAACCTGAAACAATGTTTTAATAAGATAATAGCTATAAATTGTAATAATATAAAATCAAAATAAAAAAAAATGGAAATGCGCTTTCAATGTATAATGGCTATAAAATGAACTAAAACGAAAGCCGACGACCTTTAATACATTTCGAATATAAACCAGAAAGTTTTTATTTTTATTTTCAAGAATATTTTTCACTGCACATTGAAATTTTGACATAAGAACTACCTTGCCATAAGATTTTTAAGTATGAGCTACTAAACGATTGCAAAGAATTAAATAAATTGATATAATTCAAAGAAATTTAATAGTTTTTGTGACTATAATGTTTCGATTTTATTGCAATCTCTGTTTATTAACAGAAGAGGAATTAATGTAATGAATTAATATAATGTAGTTCAAGGAAGCATTGTTGGCATATTGTTAATACAATGTTTCAGTTATACTATAATCTGTGAACTACATTGACAGAAGATAATTGGAATAATTGTATATACCTGAAATCAAACAAGTTGTAAGTCCTATGAGTTCTGTTCTTAGAGCCATTTTTATCAGCTTCTTGTCTCGAATAGTTATACCAAATGTGAAAGCCATAATAGGGCCCTAAAATGAAATAAATATTTATTTTAATGAAAGGTTTGTTAAGGATATTCATCGAAACTAACATTTATTATGTCAGGCTAAGTTTTGTTTTAAAATGGCGCAAAACGTCGTAATGAATAAAATCACAGTTTTTAATCTTTTAAAAATTTAGTACTTTTTTTTAAATATTTTAAAAAGTAATCCTTTGCTACATTGTTCGGACTCATAAAAATATGAAATTTAAAAAAAATATTCACGTGTAAAAGATATCGCTGAGTTGGTGATTTTATTTAAAAGAATGTCAAATATTCGTTTCAATAAAGTTATTTGTTCGTTTTAAAGTTCAGACCGATTATTTTAAGATAGTTTATCTAGTTTAAAATTAAATCTTTGTTTAGAGTTTAGGCCACTCAAACTGTTGCTTTTTTTTCATTTTCTTTGGAAAACAGATCTTTAAAACACACCTTTATACAAAATTATCATTAAGTAATGAAATGCTTACGTCCTGTTTAATATTATACAGACTATTCAGAATTATTTGCACAAATTTCGAGAAAAGATCAAGGACGCAAGAACAAGAATTACCTATAACTTTAGAACAATGAAAATAAACGCAATTAAAACAGGATTTTTACAAAACTAAGTAAAGAAAAGGATACTACATAAATGCACAACAAAAATTTAATCGTAGCTTTACATAATATTTATTACATGCGGAAACTGAAATTTGAACGAAACGCGTATAGTTTAGTTCTTGGGAAATAACAATCAAAAGAGTAATTAAAGATGTAGTTGTAGTTATAATGAAGAATAGTATTTTTTTAATTGTTGTTTGTGGACTATCCAACTTCAAAATAATTTAGAAACACGCACATCAACTAAGCAAAGCTTTATCCTCAAAAATGTAATGCATTGGTGTTCTAGTTTTAAAAGAGCTGTAAATGTTTATTTCTGTTTAATTTTAGAACAGGGTTGTGTCATGGTTTGGTTTTAAGAAGGTAACTTTAAAAAGGATACCTGTATTTTACAATAAATGTAGTATTTAGCAATATTTAAAACTGCAAAAATAAAAAATGTCTATGCATCCTTTTCTTTAGAAAAATTTTTGTATGAAAACCATGAATTTTTATTGTTCGTACAAACAACAAATACTACAGAGAAAGGCAATAAAATATTTAAAATAATTTCAAGTTACCATAATAGGTGATATTAACATAGCTGCTACGATGATAATTGCACTGTTCTCACTAAGACCAAGAGCTGCTATGCAACTACAATAAGAAATAAAAATAGTTAAATATTTCACAAGGGAGTATTTTAAGCGAATATTTCACGAAATATTTCATACGAAAGAATTTGATTTATAACATTTAAGATAAAATTATTAAAAATAGAATACCTTGCGATGAAAACAAACATAATGAAATCAAATGACAAAGATCCATCACTTCTGACTCGCTCGACGACCTAAAAAAATCAAGGAATTTAACTAAGGGAAAAATTACTTTAATGAATATATTAATAATTTATTAAATTTCAGCATTTTTATATGAATAATTTTATCATGAAAAACTTCTAGCTTTTCTAAAACAAAAAATTTTGGAAAATTATTTCGTAAACATTTTATAATATTCAACAATATATTCCAAAAGAATATTAAATATTATAACATTTATTTCAGAATTAAAATAATCCGAAAATGAACCATCAAAATTAAAATAGAATACAATTTTTTAGGACGCGACTTTTTGATCGTGAATGAGAAAATCTGAGCTCATTATGAGAAAAACCGGAAAACCCATACGCAGAAATTTTTTAATGAGTGTAAATCCAAGCAGTTTTTATATGAATAACCGTTCTCTAGAGTAAATGCAATTACTTCATACGAGAATATTCACCCCTGAGTGTAAAAAGAAGCAAACCACACGTGGATATCCATTTCCGAGTGTAAATACAAGTAGTCCATAAACGGATTTCCACTCCAGAGTGAAAATACAAGTACTCCCAATGTGGACTGACTAGGGTAAATACAAGTAGTTCATGCATGGATTTCCGATACCGAGAGTAAATGCAAGTAACTGATATATTGGTTACAACCCATATATGAATATCCGCTCCCCAGTGTACATACAAGTAGCCCTTATATGGAATCCCGCTATGGAGGAAAAATACTATATCTATCATAATTATGAGCATAAACAATTGATGCATGGCTTTCCACTCCCGAGTAGCATAATATATGAATTTCTTCTCTCAAGTGCAAATACAATGTAGTTCATAAATGAAATTTTGCTCCCGATTGTAAATGCAAGTAGCCCATATGGTTATCTGCTTCAAATTTAAGAACAAACAACCTATAAATGAAATTTTAGTCCCTGGACTAAAGTCCAGGTTTTTGGAGGTTATGATTTTAAGTTTAGTAAAAACTATAAAATAAAATATAAAAATTTTATTTTTCATAAAATCGAGAATAATTGTACTTACTTGTGCAACTGTTAATCTTGCGGTGACAGATTTAAGAAACTCTTTTTGCATTGCTTTAAAACCTTTTCCCTTCTTTTCTTGTAATTGATCGTCTCTAAAATAAAGTACATTTAATTAATAAAATTTTTATAAAGAGAAAAAAAAATTAAAACTAAGCAAGTTGGTAAAAAAAAAATCCATTGGAAGTAAACAGTGGGACCCATTTAAATATAGCCATCTTGATTTGAACTGGACGCTAAGAAATCCAATATGAACCAAACATATACATTAAGAAAGCCTATATCTGAACACATATTTGCAAGGAGCAACTCACTTCCTGTTGCATCACCTACACATGAGAAAAACATCAAATAAGTAAAAAAGAAGAGAAAAAAGTGTCCAGCCGAAATGAAGTCAATTCTAATTATAGTTAAACCATTCGCCATATTTTTATATGACCTAAAATGTGTGATGTTGTATACCATTTACCATTTCCAGGAGGACAATAAAATCAATATAATGATATGTTTCAATCATAGCAAACTTCAATGCAGCCACAGACTAAAACTCCTATTTTGTACATGCAGCCTTACTGAGAAAAACCCTTAAGTTTTCTTGAAGAATGAGGTCATGAAAAAGTCTTACCAATCATGATATGGATCCCATTATCCGACATCCCCCACCTGCTTTGAGAATTTTGCAATTTAAACTTAAGCATTCTCTTGCTGGAAAATCCCATTCGGGTCAGTATTTCTTCCTTCAAATGCCAGCAACAAAAAAAATTGCAATTTTTTTTTCCTTTTGCAATCACTAGGCTTTAGGCAAAAGACCAGGTTAAGTTTACCACCACAGCCGAAGTCATTCCTCAACATGAGTCTCCATATTGCTTTTCATTTCAAGAAAATTTTCTCTCCTTTTTCTCATCTTCTGTTTCATTCTATATATCCCATAAAAATTTGCGATGAAAAATTTAGCACTAGTAAATGTCTATCCATAAGCAAAAGAGAGTAGAAAATAAAAGATGACCCATACAGTTCTGTGTGCTATTACAATGGCATGAGAAAAGGAGAGGATTTCTTCTCTTATATACATCAATGATGGTACGATGGTAAACTTAATCTAGCATTTTCCCTTGGCTGTATGTATAATCAAAAAACGCTAGAAATCCATTTATTGCCGTTTGCTTGGAGAATTTGAGGTCAAAATTGGATTTTCCTGTAAAACATTTACGTTTCAAACGTTACATTCCATTAAAGTTGTGAAGTCTTCACAGTATTGGTTTTTGGATATGAGATAGCAAGCCTTGAAGGGCTCAATAAATAGGACCATTACGCCAAGAGTAGCAGTAGTCGTTTCAGAATTAAAAGTTGCCATCCCTGTAACCTAGAATAATATCGACGATAATATCCAACAGAATTTAGTAAATGGCTCACAATATCATATATTTCAAGTAATATATAAACATGGTGGATATATAAGCTATAATCAGAAGTGGCTTCATTTTGGTTGGGCACTTTTTTCCCTCTTTTTTTTAAACTTATTTTATGCTTTTTTCTTATCAAGATGGAGCAGAAAATAAATTACACCTAGTAAATATGTCTTTCATTCATAGTTATCGCTAAACTTGGTAAATGGGGAAAAGTATGGAATATTTATTAAAGTTTCCAGTCTTATTTGTATAATCTCCAATTCGTAATGTCGTAATGAGGAACACAATTGTTTTGTGGAATAACAAAGTCCCGATTCAAAAAAAAAAAAAAAAAAAANAAAAAAAAAAAAAAAAAAAAAAATGATTGAAAATGATGCCCCACAATCTTAAGAAAAACAGCAGCGTTAGGAATAACAGGAAAGTGTATACCGGCTATGGGCCCTAATTTTGAAAAAAATTGCGAGGGAAATATCAGGCAAGTGTAAACAGGGCAATAGCCCATATATTTCTGCGGGTAAATATCCTGGTTAATCCAGTTTTTTTAAGAAATAATTTATTATAATTACCACGATTTTTGGCGAATGTGACAAAAAAATGCAAATTTATCACGTTTCCTAGTATGCATTATCCTGGTATATCCTGTATTTCTCTCTCTGATGATTTTTTTTAATGTTAAGAGCCTTTTGTCTAGTATATATTTGCCCGGTGTTCTTTTCACTGAAGATTTTCTAAGATTAAGGGCCACTGCCCGATAAATACTTGCCCACTATGCCGTTCACTGACATTGTTCTCTAATCTATCCCAAGTTTGTACTTCATAAACAGTTTCTAAAAAAATACTTATATTAAGGAGGAAGTTTGGAATTGTAGGGCTAATCAAAATACGGTACGGGTTTCTGAATAATTACAGGTAAATTACAGGATACGAATAATTACAGGTTAATCAAATTTAGTGCATGTGATGACTAAGAATAAACTCCGTATTTATCGTATTCACTGAATTTAGTGATAACCATCGCATTTACCAAATGTAATGGTAACTAGGAATAATCGCCGGATAAATCACTGGTTCGCAAGAAAATATATTCTTAAAAATGAAAAAAAAGGCCGATCGGATGTGAAGTGGACAGGGAGCTGACCATACATCAAATAAGTCCTGGTTTCGAATCCCGGACAAGGCAAGGATGTTCTTTCGTTCTCTGTGCTATGCGTCCTTACTGTGGGAGCAACATTGGCTTACCTAGTATTATGTCCCTGAAAGAGTGGCCCACAAATCTGTCCTTCTAATACCTGAATAACTAGTGTCAATCGCGTGGGCATTAAAAAAATAATGATAGTTTTAATTCATAGATAACAAATAAAATAATAGGAATAGTTTATTAGGTGTATGAGAAACACTAAATGTTTTAGTTTTGAATAAAAAATTCTTAAATAATCTCGTTTTGTTTTGAGAAGTTATTATTTTAAACCGAATAAAGATAAGAATCGAATTTTGAAACTTAAAGAATATATAAATTTTTTCTCACTTTTCTTTTTCAGAATCTTCTCCTTGGTCATCTTCACCATCACCATAATCACGATAAAAAACATCACAGGGCATAATTCTGAAAAAGAAATTTCATCTAAAGTATGCTCGTAATTCATGTATTATAAGATATGTTGGGATAAAATGGTCATTAAATAGTGATTGTGGTATTTGCTAAATAACACAGTTCAGCAAAAAAGAACTTTTTTTAAAAGAAATTTTGAAGTTTTTTACATACATTGAAGGAAACAGTAAACATTCTGAAATTTAGATACACCATTTAAATTTCGTGAATTCACAAATCTATATAAATTACATTCATAAACTAATTCTAGTAATTAAGTATATGAGTATTTAAAGGGTGGACCCATTCATACATTCATTTATACACAAATCGTAATTTTGACCTGAACAAGAGAACGATCAATCTCCAATTCAGAATCCCAGAGGTATAAATTTGTTATGGAAACTTGGTGGGCTTCGTGACTCGAAAGATTTAACGTGCACCAGTCGCCATTTACTACACGAGGAGTCTTCGGCCGGCGGGGATAGAACTCACGACCACTTAGACATCGGCCCAACACCCTACAAACCAGGCTATCCCGGCCGACTATATTATGACTATATGATAACAGCCGATAACAAATTTGAGGCACTTATTGAGTACGTGCTTTTTTTTACTTCAGTTTTTAGTAAAACTCAAAAAATGTACATTAAGATAATCGAATAACCCGTTTATATGAAATTATAACCATTATGTTGTATAACGAAAAAATTTACGTACAGTGCGCGAAAAAAACGGACCACCCTGGAAAACTTTTGATCTAATGATCGAATCTTCACGTTCTAGGACTCCATCATAATGGTTTGAGGGGGTGACCACAAATATGCTAATTAATAAGTGCAGACAATATTTTAAATTACGAAATCAGACACAAAAACGTACTTTCTCGGAATAAACATACCCTTATTTTTGACGGATACGTTTTCTTGACCCCCAAAATATGAGAAGTATGGGAAGTATGGTCCCAATAGTTTGGCCAGGAGAGTGATCCAAAGTTTGGACCCCTTAATGGTAACTTTACTTTTTGCGCGTCTTTCGCTATAACTGGAGAATTTTTTAAACAAATTCAAAATCTTTGCACACAATTATAAAACTCATTTATCCAAAGATAAATCCAAGAAAAAAATAAATTTTAGTTAATATATATTATTTTATTTAGTAATAGTCGAAAAAAAATTTAATAGTAGTTGACAATTTTTTACGTAATTTTAAATTATCTGATATTACACAGCAAAAAAAGACAAAATTTGAGCTAAATCGGTTGAATAGTTAGTGAGAAATCAAATTTTAAGAAAGACATATATTTAAAATTTGATTTCTCACTAACTATTCAACCGATTTCGTTCAAATTTTGTATTTTGCCATGTAAAATTAGATTCTTTAAAGTTATGTAAGCATCTATATACCTTACTACTCTAAAGTTTTTCGACTGTTATTAAATAAAATAATAAAAAATAGTAAATATTTACTAAAATTTATTTTTCGCATGGAATTATTTTTAATAAACGAATTTTGTAATAGTGTGTAAATTTTTTTTTTTAATTCGTTTAAAAAGTTCTCGAGATATGTCAAAATACGCACTCTCCTGATCAAACTATTGGGACCATATTTCCCAGATTGCGGCTACTCCCTATATTTCAAGGTCAGAAATCCGAATCCGTCGAAAAAGAGGTATGTTTGTTCAGAGAAAGTACGTTTTTGAGTCTGATTTCGTTACTTAAAGTATCGTCTGCACTAATTAATTAACATATTTTAAGTCACCCTCCCGAACCATTAAGATGGAGTCTTAGAATGTGAGGAGATCAAAAAAGTCATTCTGGTTGGTCCTTTTTTTTTGGTGCACTGTACATATTTTATTATATATTGATGGTTACTTGAAATAGAAGTATATTTGGTAAAAAATATCGTACCCAATAGTTGAGAGTCCTTTTTCACCTATTCCACGTTCTTTTATGGTCTGAAGAACAAAATCACATTCCATACCAGGTCCTTCACAAGGAAAGAATATCTGATGGAATGTTTGATCTTTTGATAATATCCATACTGCATCGTAAATTGCCAATTTTTCTAGGCAATCCTTCAAATGCTGTAAAATAAAATGAAATCAACTGTTAATTTTTTTAAAATGTCCTCATTCATTTTTTGTTACGTAGAATTATAGAGAATTAAAATTGCAAAATGTGAAAATACAGAAAACTACTCCTAGTACCAAGATTACAGGCGTGCAACACTGTTCCTTCAATTCATGAAGGGCGATGAAAGATCGTTTAATATCCAGATTTTGGACGTATACGTACAAGTTCTTTGAGTCAAAGTTTGAAGAGCCGCGATGGATCAGGGGATAGAGCGCTCGCCTCCTAATTGGGTGAACCAGGTTCGAATCCCAGCGAAGGCTGGTCGATACAAATCCGCATCCAGCTTGCACCGACCACAGTGCCGGCGTGAAATATCCGCAGTGGTAGAAGAATCATAGGTTAGAGTCCCTTTGCCGTTAGACTAAACGTGGAATGGTTCCATGAAAATGCGGGTTAGTTCCATCAAAAAATCCTCCACGATGACAAATTTATTTCAAAACTTGATCAAGGAGTTCCATTGTCTTCTGGATTTGGTTCAAAATTACGAGGCTACGGAGTTGAACATTAGTAGTCTAGAGACCCGAAAATTGAACCTGCTGTTTAACGACGGTTATAAAATAAAATATATGCCCCCCAAAAATTCTATAAATACCCCAGCTGTTATTATCAACAATGGGGTCTTTCAGGTTGGTGAAATTTTGTTTATTAACAGGGATAAAATGACTTTTGACTCTAAATTACTTTTAAAATCTAATCAATTTTGGGACTTGTTCTAGTTACTCTCGAAAGTTCTAGTCTAGTTCTAGAAATATCGAATGAAAAAGTGGAAACGACTTTTTAACTCCAATTTATTTAAAGTCTTAGAAGTTTTGGACTGACGCAAGAAATATAAGGTAAAACAATAGGATAATTGTAGTCTGGCGGATTAGAGAGTTTAAAAACAACTTTAAACTCGATTTTATTTAAATAATCTGATTCCGGATTCGAGAGTAAAAACAATTTTAGACCAGAATTTAGTTAAAATTAGCAATATTGGGAGCGATTTTATAATAAAGAGTTAAGTCTGGATTAGAGAGTAAAATCAACATCGATTTCTAATTTATTTAAAATCTTGCCGATTTTGTTAGTGATTTTGAAATAATAAAATAAATAATAAAATTATTTTACTTCGAACCAGTGAATAAATTTTTCGGGATTCATTCACGCGACATGGAAAAACTTAAATGAACTATAACATTGCTAATACGTGTTGAATTCTACTTCGTTTTTTAATGTCTATTAAATGTTTAGTTTGTTCCTTACCCATTCAAGACATTTTTCGTCATCATCATCATCATATTTTCTTTCTTTTTTTTCCGGCGGGGAATTTGAACTATTTTTATTGTTCCGATAATTATTTTCTTCATTGTGTATGTCAGCTTGAATTAAACCATTTGGTCGATTATTTTCTAGAAAAAAAGAAAACATTTCAAAATTAATTCATGATGAAACAACTAATAATATGATTTACTTCATTTCTGTTTTGAGTTTGAAAACTTTTATTAGAACAAAAAAGTTCCAGATTTTAACTCTCTCTTACTTGCACAATGTTATTGGTCATACATCATATATATAGCACCTTACGTCATTTGTCATATCATATACCATGTTGGTAATATATCATACCTAATTAAACCATTATGTCGTTCAAATTTTCTACCTCTTATATAGTATAAAGTTTAACCATAATATCTGGCAAATTAATTCTTTTTAAAGTTAATTAGACTGTGCTTTTGTTCAATAAATATTGTTTGGAAACCCAGAACACGGTTCAATTTAATATGTTGTTAATATTGAAACAAATTTACATGGTATTAGGGTTCGAAGTACCGACATTATGATTCAACGTTAAATCGATTACTGTGAGACTATAAGTGTTCCGTTACTCTGATGAGCTTTCCTTATATATTTACAAAAAGCATTTAGTACGTTCATTAAGGAGCATTTCCCGACTGGCTTTTATAATGGTCAAGTAGCTGACCTCATGTCATAAAGGTTCGAATTTAAATCCAGGTCAGAGGGATAGATGTTCTTCTCTTCTTCGTTCTGTACTATCGATTCTTATTACTGTGAGGGTATTGTTGGTTTACCAAATATGGTGTACCCCGAAAGAGTAGCCAACTGATACCCACTGCCCTTTTGGTAACCGAATGATGACTGTCAATATTTGACTTTCACCATATGTAGGCCATAGATAAAAAAAATACGAAGGGGCTTTTGCAAATATACTAAGAAACCCTGAGTAAAGCCTAAAAGCCCTTCCAGAATATTACTATTCAAATTTATTTCATTTATTGGTACACATGCATATGCAAGCTTCTTTCCTCAGTAAGGCTTATAAGCCTCTGTCAAGTTTAAGACTTCAAGTTGACAGCGCAGTTTAAAGAAACATAGGACGAAGGGTTAGGGTGGGATTCGAGCTCGATATCTTCAAGCTGCAGAGAACTGGGCGGGTAATACCGCTTGGCCAGGAAAGCCCTCTGCAAAGATATACGAAATCTTGCACACACCAGCCAGAATAACCTATCGGAAAGAAAAGCAAAAGAAAGGAGGGGGAAAGTTTTAGCGGGCGCTGTAAGCGTTGCAGCAATTTTTCCTGTAGTAAGATAAGCAAGAAGTGGTTGCAGATCAGATTACATGTGATTTTCTAGTAACTGATGAAAAATCTGTAATGCTACTAAGTAATTTCTAGTAAATTTTTGAAATATTTTTACAGTGCAGGTTTCGACTTGTAAGATTTCATACCTGTTTTTCCCCAAATAATTCATCTCACAGCACTTGTATTTTGTCTAATAAGACGCAGTGATCAAACTCATTGTTCTAAAATTTCAGTTTTTGGACTACCTATTAAAAAACTATTTTTACCTTTTTCAAGCAACAGCTACAGTAATATTGTTTTGAAGTACCATATTTTGCCTACTTTCGACAGCGAAAATAAACAAGGGTGCATTGAAACTAATGAACGATTGTGTCTCAATTTTATTACCCTTTTTCTACTACAAATATATAATAGAGAAATAAATTAAAACAATTTAACATGCAATTGATAATTAAATAGAGAATTTTGAGTTTTCTTACGATTTCCAGCTACTTTTATTAATTCCTTTTCATTTTCATCATATTTTTTAAAGTATGAATAATTTACTGGAATTGGCGATATACAATGGAATAAAGTAGGGGCAAATAGAGGTGGGAATTTCTTTTTTTAAGATTATACAATTTAACTTTAAAAACAGTTCGTTTCTTTCCTTATTTTGATCTTTTACTATTTCTTACATGATTTGTGAATAATATTAGAATGAAAATGTAAGTTAGTATAAGAAATTGCTAATTAACGAGTAGTGTGTTATGTAGTAATAAACTTTATATTAAACATTGCTGTTAGTTGATAAAATATATCATTCTCTAGCTTATTCTGTAGCTTTTAAAACTCAAGCAAATAGATTATTTAATTAATTAGTCTTGGAATAGAACTTGGTAATAGGTACTAACTGAAATTTTAAAAAACATAAATAAGCTATTTACTAAAACTCAAAACTAATGGATAAATGGTACTAGTTCGATTTAGAGAAATGCAAAAAATCATCGTTCTATTATTATCGCCAATAATTAATTTTTGCAATCTGTTCTAATTGAAACAAAAAAAAATGAGCTATGTACGGAAAAACAAATTTAATGGATATACTGTACAAATTCGCTTAGAAAGAGCGTAAAAAATCAGCATCTTATTATTGAAATAATTCTAAAGCATTTTAGAAGAAAAGAATCTAAGAGAGAATTTGAAAAAGTTAATGCTTAACTCTTTATAATTTAATTTTATTGAAATGTGAATCTAAATCTTAAATGAAGTCCTTTCTAACTATATATGTTAATGTATGTTGCACTCCTACATTCCTTTTGATTCATTAAAAGAAGAGTGCAACATTGTGCAAATATTCATTTCATAATAAAAGTACTATTTCTGCATTCGATTCAACAAGAACTAATAGAGAAAGTAAATTAAGTCACCTGACACTTGCCATTACTTTTAAGTGATTAGCACCAAGGCTATGAAAAACAGTGTTAAACTGACAAATAGTTAGTAAAGAATAAATTTGTCGATTCACGCAGGAATCGGCAGATAATAATGGCGATAAACAAACTTTTATGTTTACTTCTATTATCAACTCTCCCGAAACAAAAGTTTAGTAGTAGTAATTCAATTATGAATTAAAAATTTGCGCACCATTACACTTTTTTTAGAAGAAAAACATTGCACACTGCAATCAATCACAATAAATTAAGGAGTACGTATAGTATACATATATTACAACTGGCGATAGTAAGCTAAGTAAATATAGGAGTACATAGTAGTACACACATTTATAAAAATTGCTAAGTTCAGTCCCAATTTTGCCCATGTTGGAAAATGTTATGATAGAAATAACAATTAGAAGTTTGGTTTTTGAAATATATGACTTTCTGTTTATGAAACATTTGCTTAAGATAAAAGTTGCATTTGATTTGTTTGGACAAATATATACATTAAAATGTGCGGCATTCGAGAAACAGCATTATTGTTAAGGTTTTTCCCAAACGTATGCAAAAGCTGTACTTGTACTTAAAGGCATGCGCTATTTCTTACATTAATTTTCGCGCATGCGCTGTTAAGCTTAATTAAGAGTCAGCGTTAGCGTTAACGGGAAATCGTAAAGTAAAGCAAAAGCTCTCTACTATCTTGTTGAAATACCGTATTTTGCAAAATTTCGTCAGAGGAAAGAAGCAGGAGTATTTTAAATTTAATGATTAGTGGTGACTTATTATTATCCTTTTTTACTATCAATATTTGACCTGAAAATAAATGGAAGCAATTTTTTTGAGTAACAACTGCGTGAATATTTCTTCGAAGTATCATTTGCTTTCGACGAAGGAAAAAAAACTGGAATGAATTGAAACTAATGAGATATGGCGACTATTTTCTACCGTTTTTTACGATCAATAATTGATAAAGAAATAAATGCGAGCAACAGCTATGGGAATACTGCCTTGTAGTACAGTATTTTACCTGCTTACTAAAGAGGAAAAAAAACTACGGTGTATTGAAACTAATGATTGATATTGCGTTCCCGGATTTGCGTAACTGTAACATTTCAATGTCATTTTCAACATTTAGTATACTTTTGTGTGGGACAAAATAGAAATCGTCTCTTTTTTATAAATAGATAGTATACTGCTCTTCTTAATTCTACTCGAAGGGGATTACACGAGCTAAGACTACTGATTCTAATCTGGCGTTTACTCGAAGTTGTAAAAGCGTGTTTTATAGCCTTATATGTATTGTTTTTCCGACTCATTTCTTTCATCTCAGAGGGAAGCGAGGTTTTTATTTCTGTTGTGTGCATTAATGTGGCGTGTTGTTTTATGACAGCAGGTTAGAACAAGCAAATATTTTATAAAGTTATGTTCCAGCTGCGGAATTGATTATTTAAATTTTCTGTTAAGAATAAAAGGATTTCTTTTAGATTAATCATTACATAATTCATCTTTTATAGCATTTTATGACATAGAATTTATTTATAGCCACCAAAATATTCGCTGTAGCAGTTACATTGAGAGAGTTATTTTTGGAATGGTTGTGGATCAGAAATATTGACAACAATATATTTTAAGAATATTCAAATGGTCCTTTTAAATCAATATATATATTAACTGGGCTTCGATGTGCATCAATTCAAAACTCGCATTGGCTGCAAATACATATTTTATTGGATAAAACACTGATACGTCAGTGTGTAAAATATATAATAACAAATTAAATGTTTTTTTCACGTTGGCAACAAAGAATTAAAACTGCAATATATATCTAGATAGTCAGTAGTTGTAAGCATGAATGCATAAACGTACTTGTTTACAAAATTCTGATTGAAATTTTCTTTTCTCGAATGAGCATTGAAAATTCGAATTAAACTAAGCTCTAAGTTTCGAAAAAATTAAAAGTCTGAAGCTAACCAGTAATTCAATCAAATAGACTGAGTTATATATATCCTTTAATTTAATTTATGAATTTAACCAAAATATTCTGTATTTCAACCATTCATTTGGTAATTTTCCCTTACATATAGTAATGGTTTACCGGAAATACTGATTTCTAAAAATTATAGTTCTTATCACCATGCGTTTAGTACAAAATACAAAACTGAAAAGTAGATTTAACCAAATAAATGGTTTTTATGCTATGCTCAAAGGTACAATGATGAAATTGCCAAATTTTACCACGCTTACCATATATTATCGCAATTATAAAACCATATTTTCTTCCTAATTTTAACAAAATCCTTACTAAAGCGTAGCGGGAAAAATTACCAAGCTTTTGGGGTCGAGAGAGAACTTGAAACACGGCTCTCTTCCTCCACCATAGAGCGTGAAACAC